CTATGACTTCGGGTATAACTTTTGGTACCTTCCAATTCGTATGCCTAGTTCCAGATTCGACATCCATTGAATGGATATGTCAACAAATTCGATTGACAAATTTGATGGTTGCAAGTTTAAAGCCTGATTCGATTTTGATTTCGTAAAAGTAGCAGGTTGTAGGTTTAGGGTTCAAATTGAGTTTGAAAAGGGAAATGAAAGAGAAACGAAGATGAAGAACACTACCACTTTTGGGGAACTCAACTAAAATTGGAAAAAGAAAACAATTTTTTTTTTATGTGAGCCCCACAAAAAGTGAATCTAAAAAGTGGGGGAAGCAATCTGACGTGTAAAAATGCCACTGTGGCAAAATTGTCTTTGTTGGATTTACAAGTCATTAAGAATAAAAAAAACCAGTGATTTTGTGGCATCTTAACATGCCACGTGTACATTTAACTGACGAAATGACCATTTTGGTATCGAAAATAAAAGTTTAAGGATAATTTTGGTACTTTTTATAGGTGAGGGACAATTTTGGTGCCAAAGTGAAAAGTTGAGGGACCAAAATGGTAGTTAAACCATTATGATATAATTAAATTATATGAAATCAAATTTTAATGAGTAATTTTGTAATTATATTAAATATTACAGGTTCTCTGTAAAAGGTACAGTCAAAAAACTCTAAAATAAGGTTTCTAATTTTATATATAAAATTATTATAGATCTATTGTGATTTTTTATAATTTTTTAAAAAATAAATTTTAAAAAAATTACTAAATATACATCTATCTAAAAATATTATATGACTATACGAAAACACTCTCAACCACATTCCCAGACGCAGGCCTAGACAGCTCAGCAGGGTCATTGTTTGGGGTTGCTGGTTACTATCTCCATTCAATTTTAATATTAGTTTGTTAAGTTTTCATATATGAATCTTATTTAAATAAAAATATGATATATATTATATAAATGAAAGTTAAAAATGTTATTTAGTCGAAAACTACTCAACAAAAGTAATATATATAAAAATGATTTTGGGTATATAAATTATTAAATTTTTATATAAAATTTATATATAAAAAGTTAAAAAATTAAATTAGAATTACGAAAATTAAATGAAAAAATTATTTATTTAGAAAATAATTAGGAGATTATTTTTTTATAACTTATATAAATCTATATTTTATTTAATGAC